CTCTCTCTCTCTCTCTCTCTCTCTCTCTCTCTCTCTCTCTCTCTCTCTCTCTCTCTCTCTCTCTCTCTCTCTCACCTCCTCCGTGTACGGAACACACTCTCAAGAACATCACCCCGGCGGCGGGGCAGACGGCGGGGTGGACGACCGCCCCACGGAAAAATCAACAGGCTGCCAATTTGACTCGTCCCAAAAAGACGCAGGGAGGCTAAGAAGGTCGTTAGTAATCTGAAGATGGGCGATCTCCTTCTCCATGTATAGGAAGGAACTATTAATAGTAGGTAGCAAACTTAGTTCATCCTCTTCAGCACGCTCGCATAGGCAGTCGTCTACAGCCAGCGTTTTGGCGGTGGCTGCTGACGAACTGCGCCAATTTTGACTGTGGATAGAATGGCGGATCATAGGGTGGGCGGTCAGAGGAAGGCGGCGGAAGGGATGGGACATGTATGATGTGAATTTTTCCTATTGGACATCCATATACGGGAGCTGCTGAGAATTTGGACTTTGTTGGTCAACTTTGATCTGCGAGCTTTGTTGGTAAATTTTGATCTGCGATTGCTTTTGTGATTGCATGTTGGATATCTCACCTCAGTTGAAGCGCTTGGTAACCAGCAGGGGATAGATACTTCGCAACTGGTGGTCAAGTTTGACGAAGCTACAGTATATCGTATGAGCTACGGAGTGAATGTGGTGGAGATTGAGCTTGGGGAAACAGGTGGCGTATATAGGAGGTATGGCCTCCTCGAGTCAACAAGGTGGGGGGAGCGGTAGGGATGGAACGCGTGGAAATCCTCCGGTATGTTACAGGTGCAAGATGCCGGGGCACTATGCGAGGGACTGTGGAATTTACTAGAAGGAGAAGTTTGAAGCTAAGGAAGGACGGGAGGGGGGAGAATCATCACGAGATGGAGGCCAGCGTCATTACCGAGGGAGATTTTTCTCCCCTCCTACACGACGATGGGAGTTGGCAAAACGTTCCCCATCGGCTAACTCCTGATATCGGGGTCGGGTGGAACGTGACAGTGTCCGAGATCTCGTCGACCTCATTACGACTGACAGAGAAGAGAAGATTGCAAGACAGAAGGAAGAAGAGGAAGTTGCGAAGCGTGATCAAGACAGATTGACGAAAGAAGAGAAGCGACGGGAGAAGCAAGACAAGAAACGGCGGGAGCTGCAAGAAAATGACGAGAGATTGGCTCGGCTCTTGAATATGCACTTTGCAAGTAGATGGGGAGAGAAGACGGAGGAAGTGGAAGTGGAAAGTACACCCGAGTATAAGAAGAATCCGAGACGAGTACGTCGAGCTACCAGGCGCGCAAAACACCGTCAGGTCCCGCATCCGGAATCCGCCACCGACGATGAGGTGTCCGACATCAGCCGCAAAACTAGGCGAATGTGCCTGTCAGACCGAAAGAGACGTCCACCAACAACGGAAGAGGAGGAATCCTTTTCCAGCCCTCAAGCAACTCCGCCGAGGACGACCACCGCGGACAGGGCGCTCAACTAAGAAAATGAAGACACGATTACAACCAATGACAATGCGCAAACTCCAAAGAAGAAGGATACCACTCGGAAAGGGACGGCGGCAGCTGCGGGTCCAGGAGATAGACAGCAATTTGTGGACGAGACGATAAGGCATCTCGATGGACTGGACTATCGCCAAATTCAACGGATGTGCAAGCAAGCGGGCGTGCCTTACATCCATAAGCCACCGACAGTCATCGCGTTGGCCGAACCCCGTGCGAAAGTTGCTTACGAAGGCACTCAAAAGGGAATTCCGGAAAACATTCGTGGAGATGGGACATCGACAACATCTAGCGAGAGCGTCGAGGACTCTAATTCTGATACCGCTCAGTCGGATACTCAAAGTAAGAAGAAACAGGCGTGATGTGGAAAGAGTGTAGAGGAGCTATGGGAGAGATGTAGAGCTCTAGTGAATATGCGGAGACAGGACTACCCGGTGCGTAAGGAGATAAAATCGTTACTTCGATGGGTTTTAGTGGCACTTACGCTGCATGGATGTATACCGTGGTTGGGTAAATTTGTGCGATATTGGTCTGAGTTGTTGAGTAGTAATCCGGAGGCTTTCGATGACCCGGAACATTGCGTCTATGTAGGTGTCTCACCCTGGTGTAAAGCGACGTATATCGGAAAGACGAAGAGAGCATTGAACACTTAATGGAATGAGCATCGAAGTCGGAGTAAGTCCACTGGAAATTCAGCTTCCCATTTTCATAGATGGTTGGAACGTTTCGGATCACATTCGTACATACTCATTCCGGTGTTGATAGATGATGCCACGAACCTCCTGAGCCTAAAAGATCTACTTATTCAGAGTTGGTCACCGTCGTTGAATGTCCGTGGTCGGAATAGGAAGAGTAAGGTCCGAAAGCAGTCACGTAAGAAACGGAGAGGGAGAAAGGAACGGGGAAAGCAAAAAGGACAAAGGAGGAGGAAATCGGGTAACAAGGGAGTGGCGAGAAATGGGCCTAAAGACATAATACGGGTAAAGGTGGGAGTCGCAACTAATGGATCGGTTAGAGTGCTACAAACTTTGTGTGATTTGGATGACAAAGGGTGCCGTCAATTCGTTTTGAAATCGCTGGGTGGCAAAGTCTGGTGTGAGGGATGGAAGAAGGTGAAACGATTGTTTGGAAATTCTGACGTGATCGGGGAAGGAAGGAAATGTTTGTTGAGGCAGTGTACAAAAGATGTAGAAGAGGGAAGAAACATCCAGTTTTTGTGTTTGAAGAAATGGCGGAAGCATAACCGTAGAAATCATACTTTTCTGGTATCACTTCTGAAACAGCCTAGGAAACGGGATTTGGGCTTTTTGACGGATTTGCTGACAGCAGCCAAGGAATTTAGTCGAAAAAACACTCGGCAGCAGCTGAAACGCATTTTGTGAGGGGGTATAAAGCGAGGGTATGGATTCAATGTTGGTGCACGGCTAGTTGCTAAAGTACGATACGATGACAGGGTTAGTTTGGTTGGGATACGTCGTTTGTGTGATTCTAAGATCGGTGAAGTTGGTTTCCCGCCTGCAATTACTAGCATCTTTCAGAGGAAAGTCAGGGCAGTTTGGACAAAAAATCCTTCTGTCGCTGACATCCTATGTAATCATCGCAAGGTCGCCGCTAAAGACGTGCAGGCCTGCACTTGCACAAGGTTTGATCTTCCCCGAGTGGAAGGACATGTAAGATGCAGACTGTGGGAGGTGCGCGATGTGCCGAAAGGCATGCACAACGGCGGTAATATACCCGGAGTTCGAAAGGGGCTTCGGGCAGATATGTTGTTCCAAGAACTTGCGGAATCCTTTACAAGTTGGAGGCCAGGACACGAAGTGCGTGTGGATATTAGTGTCGATGAAGCCAAGAGATGTATGAACGATTCAGTTAGTAATAGCCATGAGCTGACTGTGGATGAGGTTATCCAAGTGAAGTGTAGTTTTGCCGATTTGGTTTTTTCACTTGTCGATCGTAATTCCGGAGAGATCGTCCTGATGTGTCCTAGATTGTATCACGATGCGATGATGGAAATGTTTGTAAGTAGTGAAGGATATGTACCTATCCTGAGGGATGAAGAGGAAGTTTGGAGAAAGGCCAGAGAGGAATTTGCCAGGTTGGACCTCGACAAAATGGGAAAATGGAACAACAAAGGAAACGCGGGATGTGCTTATGTTATTCCTAAACATAAGGACCTCTCGCGGTTTCGTCCTATCTGCCCTACTTACACAGAACCGACATACCAGATTTGCAGGAAGGTTTCAAGAGCACTCAATCTTTTGTTGAATGCCTTGCCTCGTAATTGTCATTTTAATCTATCTTCTGTAGGCATGCTAGCTGATTGTCTGAAGTTGGCAAATAATCAGTTAGTCAAGGCATATGTGGATAGTAGAGTTATGACAGCCTGCTATGACATCAAGGATATGTTTAGCAGGTTGCCACAGGAGGAGATTAGACGAGCTCTTGATTGGTTACTGTATTGTTTTCAAGACAAAGAATCGGTGCAAGTGAATCCTAAGGGAAGAGGGGCAAACTTTGGAACAAGGAAAATCGATGGATGGTGGAAGGTTGATCTGCAGCAGATTCGTAGTTTTATTGATTTTGAGTTGTCTCACACTTACACACGCGCGACGGATATTCTGCTTCGTCAAGTCTTCAGAATACCGATGGGAAAAAGTAGAAGCCCGCCACTTGCATGCATTATGTGTGCGCATGCAGGGTGGCGGTTTCTGGTGTCCTTGGGAAACGACCGCCGACTGATTTACGGAGTCAGATTGATGGACGATGTATCCATCTTCTTGGCCTACCAATGTCGTAGCTGTAAATCGCTAGGGACTGCCAACCGAATTCGGCGGAAGTTCGAAAAATGCTATCCGAAGGCCCTATCATTGAAACGTACGGATAAAAAAACAGGGACATGGGATTTTTTGGGGTGTCGGATGGAAGTCAAACAGGACTACCCATTTTTGAGAAGTACACGAAAGACTAAGAACGAGGAGAGTATCTGGACCACAKATAAGGTAGTATTCAGGACGGGTCAGGATTCGCACTMCTGGACGGGTAGGAAACAAAAATTGGCTGGACTCACGGGATGGTTACATCGAATTGATAGGAACACAACGGATCGAACGCAGATCCCGAAGCAGGTCTTGACGTTACGAAAAGAGTATAGGGCCAAAGGCTTTAGGGACCAGTTTGTGGGAAATGCGGTCTGGAACTTCGCACGGACACGAGACCATGTTTGGCAGTTCACTGCGGACTTATTGGAAAATGGGAGGTAGCTAGAGTTCGGCTGTATAGGAAGGAACTATTAATAGTAGGTAGCAAACTTAGTTCATCCTCTTCAGCACGCTCGCATAGGCAGTCGTCTACAGCCAGCGTTTCGGCGGTGGCTGCCGACAAACTGCGCCAATTTTGACTGTGGATAGAATGGCGGATCATAGGGTGGGCGGTCAGAGGAAGGTGGCGGAAGGGATGGGACATGTATGATGTGAATTTTTCCTATTGGACATCCCATACGCGGGAACTGCTGAGAATTTGGACTTTGTTGGTCAACCTTGATCTGTGAGCTTTGTTGGTCAATTTTGATCTGCGATTGCTTTTGTGATTGCATGTTGGATATCTCACCTCACGTCCTGTCTCTTATACACATCTAGATGTGTATAAGAGACAGCCCGAGGAGTGTCTAATGAGGCCCTTGGTCATGAAATGGCTGTTTGCCTTCATTTTCCCTATTTCGCACTGCCACCCACCTGTCCCCCACCCGTCACACTAATCCACATACATGGCTAGTGGGATCTCGCTCCAGGTCAGAGTTCAATTAGGGTTGTCTTTTTTTTTTTTTTTTTTTTTTTTTTTTTTTGACAACACAGTAACTTAGTGTTTTTTGTTTTAAAAGGCTATTGCTTTTAAGCCCAACCAATTCAAACACCTGTCGAATCTGGACAGGACGGCCTTTCAGGCCTTTTTAATTGTCATTATAGTATTACGGGGTTCCCCGTAGCAGCCACATCCGTGCTCAAGCCTCCAACGAGGGAACATGCGGGGGGAACATGCGGGAGCGGCACCCACCAGCAGGTGCAATACCTGCTTTGAGCAGAGACTGCTGATGTTCATAGGGGGAGGGGACCGGAGGGGAGGCACAGTGACTGGCCCATCGAAGAAGCTCGGTCCTGATGCTACCGGCTGACCCCTGGCCAGTGACTTAGGTTTGCATTGATACTTAGGTTTGGGTTGTGCTGGTGGATGTGCGGTAGGGTTGGAGCTATCCATTGATTTGTGACGGTGGTGAGATTTGCTATGGTTGGGGTTATACCTGGCCGGTGAGCCAGGCTTATCCCTGTGGGCCATAGCTGTTCATGTGAGGGATGCTGGGCCCGAGTCCCAGCTTGTAATGGAACGACTCCTTCTGGTGCAAAAGAAAAAAAAAAGAATGAAAGAAAGAGGCCAGTACCCGCTCACTTTCAGAGTCCGCAAAATGCATTTTCTGGATATTCAAAACGGGTCTGGGTGAACTGGTGGTTTAAAAATGGCTGTCCTTCTGACTCTTCGTTGTCCGAGGGGGCTGAAATCTATTGCTTGGATTCAGCAATACTACTTCTTGGATTCCCTGTCCAGACTCCAGACAGATGCATCCGCACATCTAAAAAAGTGCTTGTGTGAGGGCCTGGTAGAACTACGCTCCATACGCCAAGTGTGGCGAGTAGGCGCCTGGCTGCACTTACTCCCCAAACTTGGTGCGAGTAACCGTGTCAGAACTTTTGCCGAGTCTCCTTTTTCAATCCGCCACACAGTGCGGCGAGTTCCCGGCTCTCTACTGCTATTTTGTGGAGGGCCATCCTTGTTGGAGAGTGCAGTGCTTCACACGTGGAGATCAGGCAGACAATGTTTTTTTACTTTTCGATAGAATAAATATAGTGGCGAGCACTCTCCACACCTCCTCCACGATTTCTGGCGGAGGGCGAGTAGTGCAACTAGGCCCTGAGTATGCAGAAAGTTGTGATCCCCCCTTTTCTTAGAGGGATC